CGTACGAGCGCCTCAAAATTGTGGTGGGAAAATCGCTAATTCGAAAACCAGAAAAGCTAGAGAGCTGAAATTTTGGGATTATGCTTCCAGTCCAAGTAGAACTCAAAGATTTCAAATTCAGAGCCCAGGGGTTCGTAGTTCCCGCGTACGGCCCCGTGAAGGTTCCTGGCGCGAAAATTGCTAGCTCGGGAACCAAGAAAGCTGGGAGACTGAAACTTTCAGGAAATGTTCCCAACCCATCTGCAACTTTAATCTATCAAATTTAGCCCCCCGTTATGCATGGTTCCCGTGTATGGTCCCGTGAAAATTTTTGGCGGGAAAATGGCTAACTGCGGAACCAGGGACGCTGGGAGGCTGAAACTTTCAGGAAATCTTCCCAACTTATCTACAGCTTAAGTTTATCACGTTCAGCCCCCCGTTATGCGTGGTTGCCACCTACGTCCTCGTGAAAATTTTTGAGCGAGAAAATGGCTAACTCCGGAACCAGGAAAACTGGGAGGCTAGAACTTTCAGGAAATGCTCCCAACTCATCTACAAATTAAATTTATCAAATTCAGCTCTCCGTTATGCGTGGTTGCCACGTACGGCTCCGTGAAATTTTCTGGTTGGAATTTGGGTAACACGGGAACTGAGAAAGCTGGGAACCATTCAAGAGAATGGTCCCTGTCCAAGTATAGCGTGGATAATTAACTTCCCGAAATTCGAGGACCAGTATGTACAAGAGGTTTCTAGCTAGCGGAATTTCGAATGATCTTAGTGCAGCACGAAATACTGCAAAAACGCATGATCGCACGGGCCCGCCCAGTGCGCGTCGCCAATGATTTATTTACGGCAGGCAGGGGCAACCTTTGCCGACACGCGGGCCTGATTTACACAATTACTTAAGTTCACGGGCCACTTTTTAATAAAACGCACCGGGTTTGCCCGCGCGATAATGCGTTTTAGCGCCAAACTTAACGCAATCAGATCGTTAAAAGTATGATGATTGCTGCTCTGCAGTTCAACACGTGCTATTGATGTGCCTGTGTTTTGTTCTTTTCTTGCATGAGGGGGAAAGGCATCGGCTGGGATAGTAGTATTGCATCGTGGCTCTTCCCGTTGCTGAGTTGAAAGTGCGTGACAAAGTTCACTCGCTTCCGAACACATACACACGCAGGCATTCTCTTGTAATTATCCTCTCCTCATTTGCATAAGATCCGCAAAAAAGAAGATAAGTTTTTATCAAGTTGTTCATTCAGTAGAAAATAAGCAACATCAGGTTATTGTAAGCTCCGAGCTTGAACTTTTGACACAAGATTGTTGAAATCTGGATTTATGTCACTGGCACAGGATCTCAAAGTATTTCCCAATCTGTCGTCTACTAGCTTCATGCATATTTAAGTTTTATTTATTTTCATGAATGTGCAGAGGCGTGACGGAATACAAACCTCCGTTCTCCTAGTTAGACGTTGCATTCTGATTCCTTCCACGAGCCGGCAGTTGTCCATCCGTGATTTACAGGAATATTCCATTTCACTTTTACGTCGTAAAGTGTTGGTCGTTCTTTCAACCTTTAGCAGTTGGAGGTTGTCTGTTGTGACTCAAGATTCATCGAAATAAAGAATTTCTGCTAAAATTATAACTGAAAAATAATGATTTTTATTGGTTTATGCCGTACGCTTCTGGTAGGGGAAAGGAAGGTCAGCTAGAACACCTCTTTTTGTATAACCGCCCTCGAACCTCAGATACGATGCATTGGGGTAACATTGTCCTGCAACAGATGGAAGGTTCGATTCCGCTGATGAGACAACTAATCTTCTATGATTCGTTCATTCGTTTCGATGTCAAATTGGTACTGGCATTTGCCAGGGAGTCAAACTCCTCATCAGCTTACTTGTAAGCAATCCTTAAAAGAGGGAGCCATCGACAGCCTTTGGCGTTTGCTAGCAGTGTGAAATACGATGGGGTCTTGACCTTTGACTCTTGATTGTCCTCGAATTGATCGATTTTGGAAAAATATTCTTCAGATATACATGCACTGAACAGGCGATAGATACTAACAGCAGGTATAACGCTGAGGACTGAAAAACTTAGCATAGCTGTACCTGGTGTATGGGAGCATCCCAGTAACATCACTAACATGAGATAACTTACCCTAGTGTCCTAGCATTCTTTAGGAGAAGATTTTTCTTTTATTTTTGTTTGATGGAAAAAAAAATGCGAGAAAAAACAGAAAGCTCGCAACGCTTGCTTTTCTTTATAATTCACTTCAGAGGAGCGAATTTGTACATTTTTCTTCAAAATATGCGTGCCGCTACTGATACTCATTTTTTCACTTGGCTGCTAATGGCACAGATGAACGTCTAAGAGAGGTGTCAAAAATCTGTCAGAACAACCAAGCAATATTGTTACTGTAGAAACACCGAGAAGCAATAACTGTATTACCACCGCACTGGATATTATTTTCAAAAATAGGAACAGAGACTTATTTGAAGGTGCGCTGTAAAGAGACTTGCAAAAAGGTCTAAGTAGCATATCCTAGATTAGTTTTGCTTAGGCAAAGGAGCAGCCTCTCCTTTACATTTCTTTGGAAGTCAGTTTTTTCGCGAAGAAATTTAGCTGATCAATGTCCATCTCCAATTTTTTTTTATGCGTTTTTTGCATCTATGCAATGCAAAAACGCATATTGTCGAAGGGTTGTCTGTGTGTATGTGTGTGTGTGTGTGTGTGTGTGTGTATTTGTGTCTGTGTGTGCGTCTGTAACGAGTTTTCATCTCGAGAACCACAAAACCTACAAGGCTGAAAATTTGGTGACTTAATCTACACATATGTACGGGCTCGCGTCCTCAAAATGGATGCTCAGGGTCCGCGTGTTTCTCACGTAGGGCACGTGAAAGTTTTTGGCGGGAAAGCGTCTTCGGGAACGGCCCATGCTAGGAAGCTGGAACTTCGTAGAGTTGTTCCTTGGTCGCGTCTAATCCAAAGATTCCAAATTCAGCCTTCACGCACTCTCAGGACTCATTATGCACACGTCAAAGTTTAAACTGGCATCATGCCAACTCCAAATTTAAGATGATCAGTAGGCTGCAGAGAGCTGCAACTTTGCAGCGTTACTTACTGCCCACTGCTGTGTCCGTGAAAGTGAATTACTTGCCAGCTGTTCTGCATCTCACGTACGAGCACGTGCACATACGTGAAATTTGACGTAACTCCGCAACCAGATCAGCTGGAGCGCTGAAACTTTCTG